TGACAATAATAATCCTATATATATGTAATATGTAAATATATGTAAAATAGAGTTCTATTGTTGTAGTGTTGACATGTGGCATGCCACATGTGCATCCACTAATGAGGTGGATATGTGCATTTCCCATTTAGATTTTTTAAAAGATCTTTGAATACATTTGTATAAATCTTTTTCATTTTTTAATAATTCTATAAATATATATTTCACCATTGTAAAATATACTCCATAATATATATATATATATATATATATATATATATATATATATATATATATACACACACACACACATACATACATACATACATACATACATACATACATACATATATATATATATATATGCATATTTATTAATTAAATACTTTGAACAACTTATTATAGTTTATTACTTTTCAAAAAATGATTATATAAATTTAATCACATATGCATATTTATTAATTAAATACTTTGTTTCAAAAAATTTATCTTATTACATTATTTATTTTATTTCTACATATATTTTTTAACAAAGTAAATAGAACAAAATTGGTTCAATTAAAGGGTGATAACTGACAATTGACAAGTGACATTATCACACATATACATTCTTTAATAATGTACCATTATGTAATTATTAATCCACTTTTTATTAAAATATTTTATTAATTGAAACTATTTTTATTAGTACTTAATTAAATGACCATTAATTTTGTAGAATTTGTTTGTTTTTAAATTAACATATCAATATATATTTTACCAATTTAAAATATATTTTGTCACTATTAGAAAACTAAAACAACTAAAATTATATATATAGAATCTGAAAAATTTAGAGTATATACGAGCCTGTGCGAAGCACGGGGTTAACACTAGTGTTTTTGTAAAGTACGCGAAGAAAAATTGAGAGTACTTAGAAGAAAAAATTGAGAGTACTTGAAGAAAAAAATTGAGCTCAAAAAAAGAACGAAAATAAGGAGAGGATAATCGAACCCTAGTTCACTTCGCAAAAATCAAGCCGCGCCTCCACTGCACTGCTTCGCTATTCAGTTTCATTCTGGTTTTTGAAATTTATATACTAATAATATCAGAGTACCTAATATATATAGGATCCTAGTCTGTGGGGTCCCGAGACCCCGTGGGACTCAACGTGGGTCCGCCTCTGTTTGTAGTAGATTTTATATGATTGTTTTTTGCTTGATGTATTTATTATTGGCTGTGTAAATGAGGATATTGATGCGGTGAATAAAAATTTTGCGCTTTTATTCAAAATAATAAAGAAATATGTAGAGCTTGCCACTCTATTCACTTACCACACGCTGATTGGACTACTTTTGATTGGTTAAAATATTTCATGCCACCGTGTGACATTCCATTTTTGTCTCGTCATTGTTGATGTTCTAAACATCCTAAATAGAAATATCCAATCTAAGGGTGTATTTAGTGATCAAACAAGATATGACTTTTGATATCTCTAGATATCAGAATTGTTTTTGGGTGTTTAGTGATATTAAAAAAGATATCGAATTCGATATCTCCAGATATCATAAATCATTCAAATAGAAAGTTTTGATATCTCTCGAAATTGGGAGATATCAATACGAGAGTTTGATATCTTTCACAACCATTGATTATTTTCCATCATTGACTACCATTGTCACCTCATTGCCGGTCCTTATTACTAATTAAATTATAATTTTAAATATCTTCAAAAAAATTCTTTTCACATTTCAAAACCCATATATTTATTTATCTTATACTATTTCCAAAATTCTGGCTTATTTCTCAACGGTTAGAACAGAAGGCGAGCTAGATCGCGACCGGTGGTTTGATGCGGCGGCTTTGGCTTTCTGTACCGGCGAGGGAGGCTACAGGTCCCAAACCCTATAAAAACCCTTCTTCTTCGATTCGAGGTACAGACTGAGAAGGGATTTAGATTTCGAGTGGAAGTCTTAATACTGCTGAGTTGTTGCGATTTAGAGCCTTCGCATCCAACCATCCAGATTTTCTTTTTTGTCTTTAATTTCCTCTCTTGATTTTTTGTTTTTCATCTCTTACTCCGTACTTCTTATCTTTGTAGAACCTTAAATGTAGTCATAAGATTATATGATTAAAAGTAGTAAAATTTTGCTAGAAGTTTATTTTAAATACATATTTTTTAAATAAATTTTAAGAATTGCCCAATTTTCTAGAGATTTTCAAATTAATTTTCTTCGATTTTTTTCGTACTTTTACAATTTCGTGAGTGAATAACATTAAAATTTGTAGTGTGTGAATAACATAGAAATTCAGGCATTTGTGAATAGCATTAAAAGTTCTAGAGTTTTCTTAGCAAATCTTTTCCATTTTTTTAAATTCACTAATTGCTTGAATGTTCTAGCATTATATGAATTTAACCTTTATGGTTTTGACTTCTAAATGCTTGAATGGTTCTCGAATTTTTAAATACATTTTTAAATTTAGTTTTATTACATATATGGTTCTGAATTGGCTTTGATATGTATTGAATGTGAAGCTTTGAAAACAAATAGAAATGAATAGTTTTATAGATGATTTTATATGTAAATATACAAAGAGAATGTTTTTTTAATGTAAACTTTTACTTAGTTTTTTTTTTTACTTCATTTTATGATTGAAAGAAGCATAATGATTTTTTAGTACAAGCATAGTGTAATTAGTACTCTGTATAAAATTAATTTAGATTTATGTGCATATGAGGTGCAATGAGGCCACAATTTTGGTTTTGCACAGGGCCCTTGTGGGTTTAGGACCGGCCCTGAATACATGGGAGACCATTCAAATAGAAAGAAGAAGCACAGGCAAGAGGAAGATTCACCCACATCACCTTCATCATCACACACTTCATCCGAAACATCTGATTCAGAAATTGAGAGGCACAGAAGTAGAAGGAAACGGCGGGGCAATGAGAGGCGCAAGGTTTCTTCTAAAAGAGACGAGGGTAAGGACAGAAAACGAAAATGTAGAGACAAAAAGAGCCGGAGTAAGCGAAAGCATGGAAGGGGTAAGAGTAATAGTCGGAAATCAAAGCAAGAGTATTCTTATTCGGACGAGTCTGGCTCTGATCTCACCGGATCCGAATCTGAAGATCCTGACGGATCAAGGGAGGATCCCAATGACGTGGTTCTCAGGATTTTGGAGGACTTCCCTAGTGTAGCTGGTGAGTTGGAGCAGGTATGCTTTGTTTTCTTCTTCTTAACTGTAATATGGCTCTAGAAATGTTATGGTATGATTTGTTTCCAGAAACTATTTTCAGTTATTATTGGCATGTCCAATCCACCTACTATGTTTAGTAAACAATCAAGCTTGCTGACATAGTGACATTAGTGGCTGATTAGCCAATTTCAAAATCCTGTTGTCCATTCACACCGGCTCTTAAATTTGAGGGGTTAGCACAAGTGTCTCAAACGAATACTACAATTCACAACTGATATTTTGTTCTAATTTTTGATTGCATAGCTTCTTACAATGATTGATGATGGACAAGCTGTTGACATAAGTGGTTTGTCAGAAAGGTTATTGGTTAAGCATTTGAGAAAGCTGTTCCTGTCCTTAAAGCTTAATCAGAAAGGTGATCTTGTCTTTCTACTACCATCAAAGGCGTGTCCTACGTTGGAACGAGTAGGATCCACAATTAACTTCCACACACAACTTCGGAATCAACATCATGATAATTCTGCATTGCAGAATGATAAGCATTCAAAATCACCAGATTCTGATTATCAACAGAAAAGCTATAATGCAGACATGAGCTTTTCGAATGTTGATGCTGCCACTTATGATGCTAATTTATGTCTGCCAAATGAACAACTATCTGGACCAAAAAAGAGGTAATCATATTCCTTTCTAATGTATACTGCCTTCTCATAATTCTGCCTATTCAATAATATTTTACACAACATCGAGAGCAATAGTCACTTTAATATTCTTTTTGGTGAGTTTTTTTCTTATGAAAAACAAATGCTGATACTTTATCCCCACATCTGCTATTGTCATGTCTGTTCAGGATGATTGGTCCGGCAATGCCATCTGCTGAATTACTTGCCGCAGCTGCCAAACTAACAGAAGCACAAGACGAGCTGAGGTTTATGCCATGTGCATGTTTCTAAACTCAATCGATTCAGATTGTTGCTCGTGTTCTATTAGTGATAAATATTAACTTAATAAATTGGTTGTCATATGGATTAAATGAAAAACAAAAGGGATAGGGTCCCCTTGCTTGATCCCACTTAAGGTTTTAAATTATCAACAACTAACTCCATTAACAAGAATAGATATATGAGTGGCCTTGAGATTGTTCATAATAACATGCGCCACATGAGGAGAAAAGCCAAAGGCTTGAAGGAGGCTTCAAGGGTAACAGCAAAGAAGTCCTAGGACACTATCAAATGCCTTGGTCATGTCAAGTTTAATAGCAACCTTATTACCTTTGTGTTGTCTATTGATGAACCAATTCTTGAACAAGAAGCACCTGGTCATTGATATCCCTGCCTTTCATGAAACAATCATGCTCCTTGTGAACCTTTCTTATAAAAGCAAGAGACAAATAGGCGTGTAGTCTCTAAAAGTTTTTGGTTTTTGATATTAGGCAAAGGGTCAACTTGAGAGCTTGCTACTCCTTTAGGAATAGGCAGGCTAATGAAAAACTCTTGCACAACCATGGGGAAATCAGGACAAATGTGCCAAGCTGTAGCTCTAACCTCCTCCAAGTCAGGCAACTTAGCTAGCATAGACTTATCCTTCAAAGTAAGAACATGTGGGATGTAGTGAAGTATAGCAAAGAAGTACACCGGAGGACCAAAGAATGGATGAACCATGGGAAAAATGAGAATGCATATGATCCATCACATTTAAGCTCTAAGGGTTTTGCATAAATGAAAAATCAGACCTCCCTTACATCATCTAGAAATAGCCGCTCCATGTTTTAAACATAGGGGTCAATTTAAACCTCTTACCCCACAATGGATTGGAGCCTTTGAAGCATTGGGGTGGTGCTGTTGTTGTTGGGCTTTGAATAAGTTAAAAATCACGAAAAACAAAAATAATGTGATTGCATTATGGTAAATAAGTCAAACTTTTCGGCCATCATGAAAATGCACTGCTTTGTTCGTAAATGTTCACCACTATGAACCTAAAATGCACCATTCTCATTTATCACGTTAAGAGTTATCATTACTGGAAGTGCACCACCCTGCATGTCTATTCAAAAAAAGAAAATTATTATAGTCGCAAGTGTATTGAATTTTTGAGATTTTTTTTCCTTCAGACAATGCTTAGACAATGCTTTTAGATGTATAGTAAAAGCTCTAGGAGGTGATCCAATCGATCTCGCCAATATTGCAATTTTTCAAGCAATCTGGATCACAAATCTCTTTAGAAATTATATAGTCACATGTTTCTACTAGTTGACTAGCTAATTTTACTACCTTGAGTAGTAGTACTAGTAATAATATACTTGTGATCTTTAGTACTTCCTATGTCCCTTTATACAACAATAACCCAGTTGGATCCCACAATAGTAGGGTCTGGGAAAGGTGTTTATATGTAGACCTTGCCCCTACTCGAAAGTAGGGAGGCTATTTCTAAGAGACCCCCAACTCAAGTAGCACAAGCAATATAAGAGTATAGAAGACACATAAAAGTAGAGAAAACATAGAGCATACAAAGCAGACAACAAAGCATACAGCGCACACAAGTGCGGACTGTAGAAACCACCACTTAGTCTAAAGCGCCTACCCAACTAGAGCGAACAAGAATGGGCTAAGGGTAGACCCTTAGTTTAACCCCATCTCTAAGTCACCGCAGACAGTCTTTATTTTAGTCCTTGCCCCACAATACATATCTTTGACTGCACGAATGTATGAACCCCTCTTGACTCAAGATGCCTCCATAAGACCTCTGCGGCACCCTGTCGTATGCCTTCTCGAGGTCAATAAACACCATATGAAGATCCTTCCTCTTAGCCCTATACTCTTCCTATTCTCCCATTATGGTCCCTCCCAAAATATTTGTGTCAAATCCATGTCAAGGAACCAATTCAACCAAAAGATCAAGCTTGTGGTTGTGGCCCAAGAAAAGTTATTTATATTCTAACACGCCCCCTCACGTGCAGGCGTAGTCTTTTTCGAGCCTTGCACGTGAAACCTTAAATTTTTTTAAACTGGGTGGCGGTGAGTTTCGAACTCGTGACCTCTTGGTCATCAAGGCTCCGATACCATGTCAAGGAACCAACTCAACCAAAAGCTCAAGCTTGTGGTTGTGGCCTAGGAAGAGTTATTTACATTCTAACAATTCGTAACACACCATATTTGGTGATGTTTATGTGTTTCAAAATAATCCATTGTTTACATATTAAATATTAACAACAGAAATTCACTTGCTCTTAATTTGGATGTCACTTTCCCTTTTCCCAAACTTGGTGAAATGGAGAGAGGACCAAGCACTGATGGTTATTTCTAATGGCTATTATTATTGTTGATTTCTTGTTGTCGAATCCTCATATGAGCTTCATTATGGTCCATGTAGACCATTTTGACCATTTGTCTTTCTCTTTTTATATGAAATATATGCACATTAATTATTTTTTCATTTGCTGATTTATATGCTTAACATTTAATAAGGAGATTTAAGAAAAATGCACTAAACATTTTGATTAACTTATCATCCCTATACAACTTTTAAAATGTGTGATTTGCTCAACGTATGAAAATATATAGAAAGGGACCGAGTATAAACAAAGAGTGTTAATAACAACATTATATTGGCTTAAAGTGTTTAGTTTTAGCCATAATGCATTTGGGGTTTCGCTTAAGACCATTCTCTCTACATGCACTTGCTAAAAGTTCTATAAATGGCTTGTTGTGCTTATTAACTAGTATATCTAATTTTCCATGTTATACTTTTAAAGGGAGGCTGAGTTGGAGGAAGACAATGGAATCTTTATTGGACCTCCACCTCCTGCAGTGGTGACCGAAGCAGAGTCTGCCAATGAAGCAGAGCGTTTTGAAGAGGTGCTTTCATTTTCTCTCTAGCATGTATAAAATTTGCTCCCTCCATCCCAAAATGAAGTTCCCATTATGGTTTACTATGTTTGACTAAAATCATTTTCGATTCAATTTATTTGAAAATTGGTGTAGATACAAAAATATAAAACCTATATATTTAAAAGTATGTATCTGCCATTGATGGGATGTTCAACATGATGCCAATGTAGTATTGGAAGAATTCTGGGGTGAAAGATCCTTTCTTGAATATGTAGAGTATTGTTTTAAGGTCCTCATTGGATGATTCAAGGCATTGGTGTTTTAAATTTCAAAATTAGAACAGAGAAAAAAAATAAATTATCAGAAAAAAGAAGTTTTGGCCGAGGTTAACAGGCAAAAATATAATCACATAATTATGTGATATATTTCAATTTGAATATCAATACTAGTAGTTAAAATTTTACTACAGGGGAGAATTTTTTTTAATTAGGTAGTATGATATGCATATAGATTTTTAAATATTACAGATAGTATGGAATTTTAGTGACGTGACTCGTGAGTTTCTTTGGTTAGTGTCAAACAATATGAAATTTTATCTGTGGTTAGATTTGGAGTTCTAGCTTCGAATTTAATTTCTTCTTTCAGTGCTGCATCTATATATTGCATGCATGCATGCTTGGTGTTTGCTGATGACTAATTAGCTTTTTGTGTGTCAGGTTACTAGAATCATGGGAGTTGAGACAGAAAATGCCTATGATGTTTTGGGAGTGAACAGAAATATGGCAAGTGAAAGCATGAAAAAGAGGTAAGCTCTTGCCATTTACTAGGATGTTCATAATCTTTATTTTGTTGAAGGTCGTGTTCATAGTTGAGTTCAGCACTGATAGAAACCTATTAGAATTAATTCAGGATCTAAATTAAGACTAAATCCCTCCCTTCTCTCAATAAGTATCTCACTGATGAAAAAGGAATAGAAGCCAAGAGAATCTCAATGTGATTAATGATTTATTTTCTGGATATCTAAGCAATATAGAAGCTGGAATATTTATAACAACTCTTACAAACTGATAAGATCAAAAATAACAAACTGATCTGATAAGATCTATCAAAACAACAAAGTGATAAGTTCTAACTAACTAAGCTATCCTAGGGACTCAGGACTCCTAGTAATCTGAGAGTTCTTTTGTTTAATAAATATAGCACAGTAACCAACTCAATTAACCCACACATATTAATATAATTAAGGTGGCCTTCTGCTATCAGTGATCCGGATCTTATCATTACTCCCCTCTCTGAAAGACACCTTGTCCTCAAGGTGGAAGTCTGGATGTTGGTGTTGTATTAAGTCGTTCAGATTCAACGGAGATTCTTCCTTACTCCTAACTGCAACTTAAGAGACACCATTGAATTTAGTCTAATGCTTTGATCAACTTTCGAGATGTCTTGTAATTTATATCGCTTCCCAATCAACCCAAAAAATCAGGAACATTTCATTCCAGTTTGCTTGAATGGTATTCAAAGAGGCTAACCATTTGGTTCCAAGAACCATATCAGATCCAACAAGTGGAAATGGGTAAAAATCTTGTGTAAGAGTCAAACCTGGAAGCTTAACTGAGACGGACTCGAAAATCTAATCACACTGAATAATACAACTGTCTCCTAACTGTACCCCAAATGTCTGCACAGAGGAAACAGGTCGCTTAAGTTGGTGAACAAGTTTTTCAGAGATGAAGTTGTATGTCGAAGTGCTATCAATTAACAAGAAAACTTCATGTCCATGTAATTTTCTACTTAATTTCATTGTGGCAGACGTTGGCGTCCCCAGAATCGCATTAAAGGACACTTCCTCCTCTTTTACCTCCCCATCAATGGAAACGTGTTTGGGATTCATCGGGTTACCTTCTTCATCAACTTCCATCAAGGAGAAGGTAGTGGATGAAGTCGAACAATGGTGACCCGGCCTAAAGGGATCGCCACACCGATAGCGAAGTCCCTTATCCCCGCGTTGCTGCTTCAACGACTCCTCCCTACTAAATCTCGAAACTGGCAAGGTTGGTGTTGAACCTGAAGATCCTGAGAATGCAAGTGGCTGGGGCGAGTGAGATTGGGACAAGTTTTTTACCTCTTGGTTTGGGTCAATGGTAGAATCTGAACCAACACCCCGGTCCGATCCCATAGAACCTGTCTTGAAATGCAGAGGTGTATTCCGTTTCTCAAACTCAAGGGCTAGACTAGAAGCCTTGAAAACAGATTTGGGTTTGTGGATTCTGACCTCCGACCTCAAATCCTCTCTCAAACCAGCAATAAAGACTCCCAAGAGACAATGGTAAGGCCAATTTCGGACTCGGGCAACCCTTTTCGCCCGCTCTTGACGATAGTCCTGTACGGAGCCTGTTTGTTTGATTAAGACAAGGTGTTCGTCTGGGTTTAAGTATTCTGGCTGTCCATAATGCTCAATGATTTTGATGAATTCCTCCCAGTACAAGAGCATCCTTTCGGCATTGATCCAGGAGAACAAGTCGAGAGCGTCACCCTCCAGCCTCCAGGTGCATGGCTGCTATCTCATCCTTATCTTCTTCTGATGTTCCATAATAACGGAAATACTTTTCAGCCTTCAACACCCAACCCCATGGATCTCCGCCGCTGAATTTAGTGAACTCCACTTTGGATCTGGGAAACGGGCGGTGGCTGTGATTGTTTTCATCATCAGAATTGTCAATATACTGCTTCATCTTCGTCTTCCCAGAGTTACTTCTGGCCTGCACTTTCAGGGCAGTCACTTCTGCCTTAGGTCATCTAACACAGAAAGCTTGGCAGCGATTTGTGCTAGATGTTGTCCTGCAGACTAACTTCGTTTGCTGGTTGCTCGTTGGATCCACCATCCTCACTGTGGGCAGCGTTTGTACAAGTAATTGCCATAGGGATCGAGTAGGCTCTGATACCAAATGATAGAAACCTATTAGAATTAATTCAGGATCTAAATTAAGAATAAATAGAACTCTCCCTCCCTTCTCTCAATAAGTATCTCACTGATGATACCAAATGATAGAAACCTATTAGAATTAATTCAGGATCTAAATTAAGAATAAATAGAACTCTCCCTCCCTTCTCTCAATAAGTATCTCACTGATGAAAAAGGAATAAAAGCCAAGAGAATCTCAATGTGATTAATGATTTATTTTCTGGATATCTCAGCAATAGAGAAGCTGGGATATTTATAACAATTCTTACAAATTGATAATATAAAAAATAACAAACTGATCCAACAAGATCAAAACAACAAAGTGATAAGTTCTAACTAACTAAGCTATCTTTTATTTAATAGTAACAAACTCAATTTACCCACATATGATAATAAAAGTTAAGGTGGCCTTCTGTTATCAGTGATCCGGATCTTATCAAGCACACAATAAAAATATGGGATACAATGCTTTTTTTTACAGTTATCCTTTGGCAAGAGCCATAGCAATGCATTAATGCTCTATACATGACAGTCTAATGTGAAGCTGTTTATTTTTAAAGTAAATGAGTTCTCTAATAATTCAGCCCATTAAGCTTATATATATATATAAATATAGCTGAATGAATATTAAAAAAAGAAAGAAACTAACAAGTACGCGTCATGCTTTAATTTTTTAAAATTATGTTCAACATAGTTTTTTTTTGTTACCTATGCTTCACAGTACCTTATTAGGAATGCTTGTGGCTTATAAGTATATCTATATTATTTCACTTCAACTTATCAGCAAACTTGCAAGCAACTTCCATTTCAAGACCTGCATGTTTCTGGAGTTATATTGAGCCTAACTTTGAATGAATAATAAGTACCACGTGCTAACCTGAATCAATTAATTGACATGTTGATTCTATTCCCATTCTTTGACTGAGGGGTTGAGGTTTTTGATATCATTTGATTTATTTAATAGCAATAATAATATTGTTATTATCATTAGTTTCCTTATATTCAAATGGTTTGCCAGCCTTTTAGTATTTAATAATGAATCAATTTCTTTTGACATTGGCCACTGGTGTCATAATATGACACTGGTCCATTTGGGAGCTCTAAGTGGCTGCATTTGACCCAAATTGGTTCCTAACCTCTCTAATCCCTCATAAACCTCCCACTCCGAGGCCCACCCCCCTATTCGAGTGACAATCCATTGTCAAAAGTTTGATAGTGGATTTTCACTCATATTGAGGGGAGGGGGGGTTAGCGGGGTAGGAACTGCTTCGTGATCCAACAGAGTACCGTAGGATTTCCAAATGGTCCTGGTGTTATATTTTGACACCCAAACCCAGTGGCAAAAGAACCTGGGTGTAATAATAATGATGATATTTTCTTTTCAATGAAAACGGATGTGGATGAGTTGTTTACTGTGTGGTCTTGACTAAGGTACTGGAAGTTGTCTCTTATGGTGCACCCCGACAAGTGTTCTCATCCTCAAGCTCACCAAGCATTCGTCAAACTGAACAAAGCATTTAAAGATTTACAGGATCCTGATAAGGTGAGTCATGAGTGCTGCCACATATATTTGTTATTAATTTAGTTGGTTTAATTCTTTCTTATTCAGCCATCATTCCATGTCTAAAAAAGAAATTTCACACTGATGGATTATGCGACGTCTGACAAAAGTGGCAATACAATGATAGATTCTCTGATGTGAAAAAGTTACCCTTTTCAATAAAAAAGAGTGCCATAAATACAAGTTTCATGCTAGAGAGATATGAAAAGGCAGAAGCATTCAATGTTTAGACTCGAGATATAGAAGGGGACACATACAATGTAATCCCGAGGAAGGCATTTTATTTTAACTAGAACAGTGATGCTCGTTTTCGTCTAGCATGATGCATGCTTGTTATACCTATTATTTGCAATAGAGGTCTGGAGGATGAATGTTTGGGATTGTGAGTTGAGTGAGATGCTTTGTCTTGCTTTTTAGAGAGGATAGCATTTCTCCCAGAACAGCAGGTTTCTAGAATTAACTACGTAGCATGGTGTTTTCAAAAAAAATAAAACTACGTAGCATGGTGTAGTAAAGCTGAGCCGAGCCTGAATAGTCATGCTGATCCTGAATAATCTCAAACTCATGCTGAATCAAATTCAACTGTTTACTGAGTCGATATCTAATTACTCATAGATTCTTAAATCCTCTTACAACTTACACCCACACTTGATACTCCCCTAGTGCATACCTGTCCAAAATTCTAATGTGAAATTATGTTTTGTTTCTCACAACATTTTTTTGTTCTGTGCAAATTCATCTTACGTGTGTATTTTTTGATGTTTTTCCTTAAATTGATATCTCATTTAGAGGAAAGCGCTGGATGAAAAAATAAAGCTGAAGGAGGAGGAGGAGGAAATGAAGGTACAGTTTCCATGCTTCATTGGGCAGGGTCGTGCTTAACATCTTCCTTTTTTTTTGTGCTACTAAATATGTGTTAACAGTTTTACACATGTTTCTATTATGTAGGCAGATTTGCGAGCTATGCGTGAAGCTGCACAGTGGAGACGTTTGCAAGGTTCATAGTTTCCACATGTGTTTTTACTTGTTTGTTTGTTTGATTTGTTGTGGCCTCGTGGGTAACGAAGCTGATTTATTTTTCCATTTTTTTCATGTTCTGCCTAACCATTTGCTCAATAGACTCTATACTACTGTATTGATCTCACTAAGTTTGACCCAATACCCGACCCGAAAATACTAGGTTTTGGATAAATATTTTTTTTACCCCTACCTGAAAACCAACTAACACATAATGACATGTTAAAAATGGGTCGAACCTATCTGAGCCAGAACCTGACCTAGCCGACCCATTTAGGCAAGGTTTGTTTTTTTCCAAATCTTGTACTCCGAACTGACCCAAAACCTAAGTCATGGGAACCTGAAATTATTGACCCCAAAACCAATCTGTTTGCCAGCTCTACTAGCGTACAATCTAACCGATATTGTGTGTTGTGAACTGTGCAAATGGAAATGAAATAATTTGCAGCAGATATATAAACAGATTGCAGGATTTTCCTCAAGTGGTCATAGAGATCCAAGCTTGCTTGTACGCTAGTATGCTGTGGGCACAACAAAGTCAAATCCATACAATGACCACTAGGATTCGAGTCTTCCACCCTGCTGCTGCCAACAAAGCATGGCACAACACCTTCACTTGGATTGTTCAACCACTGAGCTTTGCCTCAGGGGCAACAAGATAATTTACTACAAGTATCTAGTGGATATCAACTCTGTATATACAAGGCAAACTGATAGGCAGTGTATAGAAACAAATACGAGACAATAAAAAGGATTCAAAAAAACCCTCCAAGACCCTTAAAAATGAGTGCTTCTTACTCCAGCCAATGACTTAATATTTTATTAGTATTCTCTATTCTAACGAGAAGGCCTAATTTATACGGAGTATTTTATACTGTAATTAAGACTAAGAAAATTACTCCCTCTGTCCATTTATTTTCTTCCCTTCCTTGACCCAGGCACGTGTTGGTTAATTCCAGTCCAGAATATAGTTTAAATTTAAAAATAAATAAGTAAAAAAAAAGGGCAGGCAGTTGGGCAGTTACAGGCAGTTTTATGACAGTTTCCAACAGATGTGTTGGTTAGAAACTGCTGTGTCTATTTGTAATGGTTGTGTTGTTTAGTCCTCTATTTATATGTATGGGCACATTGTTCTGGACAGCAGTTCCACAATAAAAACACACTGTTTCTATAATTTAGATCTGTCATTATTTCTCTCAATTCACACTGTTTCTATAATTTAGATCTGTCATTATTTCTCTCAGCACGAAGGTTAAGAAAAGTTGAGATTGGCATTGTCTTTCCTCTAATTCCCCAACACCTTTCACCTTTGTCCCTGTTTCCTCGTCACCTCCGCCCTCCATCCTCACCACCTCCATCAATTACGTTCCAGATCTTCATCATTGTTGCTCCCCATCAAGAACCTCCATTCAAAAGGTAGGAACTTCTTTTTCAGTAGGTAGGAACTTCTTTTTCAAAAGTGTCTTCATTTTTTGCCAGGTATCCACTGGGGGTTTCTCATCTCGATTCCTCTTGCTTTTGATGTTGGACCACCAAGTAGATGCATATTTCCAAAACTTCAAGGCTACAATCTTGACCTTTTTCTCGTCGGATACTTCTTTGAAATCAAATACTCTTTCCACTGTTTCTAGCCATTCAAGGAATTCATCCGGATCATTCTTTCCTTCAAAGATGGGAATATCCACTTTGAAATCAGAACCGGACTTATCTTGAGCTCTAGTTCTTATGGCGGCACTAGAACTAGCTTCCTCTTCATCATCACTGGATTGCAACATAGCCAGCTTTTGTTTAGTGAGCTTGGCTATTTGCTTGGCTAGATAATCAACTTGAGCTTGCAGGGCTGCATTTGAAGCCACAAGTTCTTCATGGGTCATGTTTTGAGTGGTATTTGACATGGTGTTTGGTTGAGCTGATTTGTGGACTTTGTGTGATGTATCTTGGGTAAAGTATCAAGGAAGGGTAAGAAAGGTGAGAGAAGTGTGTTTGGTCCTTTAGAGATGTTAACAACAAGCTCCGATACCAAATGTTGTACCCAAACTTAGGATAAGCAAACAGGAATTGATTCACTCAGGGTTCAGAGGCGTAGGATAATCGATTAGCACATTTAGTAAATCGATTAACAGAGTTTGGCTCAAAACTGGGAATGTTCAGAGGAACCAGATTGTCGATTGACACTACAAGACAATCGATTAACAAGAACTTGCTCGGAACTGGGTACTTTCTGAAGGTAAGGATAATCGAGTATCAATTTGTTGACAATCGATTGTGTGAAGTTATGGGTTTTGCGAAGAAGAATCAGAGGACTACAATAGTCGATTACCAATTAAGGATAATATTTATTATTTAGGGATTCAGGATCAGGATTGGAAGAAAAGAGGGGAAATGTTTTTGTGGTTTTGTTGTATAAGGATAAACCAAATAATATGTAAGAGATAAACACACTCTTAATATATTTGGGGCTATTATCTATTTCATACAATAATAATCACTATTAAAGTATTAAATAGACTCCTAACACACACTCAAAAGTGGCCAACTTTTAGAGATATTTCATTAGGAAATGGATTGAACTAGCTTCACACCAATTCAGGGAATACTTCAAGAGTAATATTAATAATGAGAATGAGATGTGTTTACAAGGCCTCATGGCCGAAATATATATAAGGCAAAACAAGGGAAATTACTGCCATGTGAAAAGGAGGTTAAAAGGCTGTGATTTTGGCATAGTATGGTTCATTAATTCCTTCCATGTGAAAAGGGAATCAAGGAAAGTTGTAACTTTGACAATTAAGGATAATATGACAAAGTTTGCACTATTTAATCAATGGTTTTGGTTCCTTGATGTTTTTATCTCTATCCTTGGTAAATGGGGTTGTGTTTATGGATATTTGGGGTGGGAAATTCGGCCATATGCCGAAGGATATGAAGGGGATTGGGTTTTGAACAACAGGACAAAATCAGCACTATTCAATCAAGGAAAACTTTTTCTTGATTTTGTTTTTGTTTTGTGATTTGAATTTTGTCTTGATTAAAACATAATGTGGCCTGATTTTTGGGTAAAAGAGTTGGGAAAATTCGTGGGTTTGGTGTAGGGAATAGAAAGGAAGGTTTTATTTTAATTAAAAGGAACAAAAGAAGTAGAAACAATACACAAGGTTTTATCTTTTGGACCTCATTTTCGTCCAGGGCTTAAAAGGTGGGAAAAGACTTTATTTTGATCATGAAATGGAGATAAAAGACTCTTGGATATTTTGGGAAGGGTATGGAATGGTTTCGTATCAAGAAAGGCTTTGGAAAAGAAGGGTTATGGTTTGGGTTTTAGGATAAGAAAGATTAATGAGTTCAGCCCAAAAAGGATCATAACACTTAGATATTAACCCTTTGATTTGTTTTATGGTGTGTGGTGTAGCCTCAATGTTGGTAGGAGCATCCCGGGGTACATCATCCTCCCCTTCTTCAGGAGAGTTTGACCTCAAACTCGGAATATCTTTGGGTTCAAAGTACGGGCTAAGATCCGTGACATTGAATGTGGCTGAAACTCCATAGTCTCCGGGCAGGTCTATCTTGTATGCGTTGTCGTTGACCTTAGCTAAAACTTCGAACGGACCATCTCCCCGGGGCAGTAGCTTGGACTTGCGTTTTGAGGGAAAACACTCTTTTCTAAGGTGGATCCACACAAGATCTCCTAGCTGGAAATCCATTTTCTTGCGTCCCTTGTTGATCTTTTCACTGACACGCTCGTTCATCTTCTCTATTTTTGCTCGAACCTTGTTGTGAATAGCTTGTATCTCCTGTGCTCGTTTCTCCGCTTCCCAACTATACTTCGTATCTGTTAAGATTGGATTAAGATCAAGTGGGGTAAGGGGATTAACACCATAAACAGTAACAAATGGTGACACGCCCGTTGTTTTGCTTGGGGTGCGGTTGTAAGCAAATTCGGCATGAGGAAGTAATTCCTCCCACTGTTTGATGTTCTTCTTGATGATGGCACGAAGGATGGTACCAAGTGTTCGGTTTGTTACTTCCGTCTGGCCATCGGTTTGCGGGTGGCTTGATGTACTAAACTTGAGTTTAGTACCCATCTTTCTCCACAAAGTCATCCAAAAATGACTTAAGAATTTGCTGTCTCGATCGGAAACCATACTTCGGGGAATGCCATGAAGTTTGACAATATCCCTAAAGTACAAATCTGCAATTTGTGAAGCATCATGAGTTGTTAGGCACGGAACAAAGTGTGCCATCTTTGAAAATCGATCAACCACCACCATGATTGAATCCTTTCCTCGCTGCGTTCGTGGCAAACCGGTGATGAAATCTAGACTCACGTCTTCCCAGGGAGCTTGTGGGACGGGCAGTGGCATATGTATTCCTTGTGCGGCTTTGGAGTGGCTTTTGGCGAGTTGACAAGTAGTACAACGCCGAATAAAATGCTCGGTGTCTCTTTCCATTTTTGGCTCTTGAAGCATCATATAAGTTTTATCCATCCCAAAATGACCAGCCAAAGAACCGCCATGAACTTCCTCGATTATTGTTTCGCGCAAACTACATTTCGGGATACATAGTTGGTTGCCACGAAACAGAAAACCGTCTTTAATGAGGAAGTTACCAAAGGGCCGTGTGAGGCACTTATGGTATGCCTCCTTGAAATCTTCATCATCTTTGTATAATCCCTGCAAAAATTCAAAGCCAACAAGTTTGGTACTAAGTACCATTAGTAATAAATGTCGTAGGGATAAGGCATCAACGCCTTTGTTCAGGGTCCCGCTCTTGTGTTTTATGGAAAAGGTGAAGGTTTGGATGAATTCGACCCATTTGGCATGACGAGGTCGGAGTTTATGTTGCCCTTGGATGTACTTTAAAGCTTCATGATCAGAATGGAGTATAAACTCCTTGCTAATCAAATAATGCCTCCAATGCTCAAGAGATCGTACAAGAGCGTAAAACTCTTTGTCATAAGTTGAATATCTCCTTTGGGTGTCA